TAAAAGGATAATACTCACTGGCTATGGAGTCCGTGACAGCCTCATGTACAAGTTGGTCATCATGTACATCTGGATGAGAACGGTCCACCGGGTCCTGTTTCAAACCCACATGCCAATCTTTTTTAACTCTCAGCCGAGGAATCTCCAATTTATCAGACATCAGGTATCCTGAGACCCTATGCAAATCTAACAAGGTCATACTAAATAAAGAAAATCTCAACAAGACAACAGTTACAAAATATGTTGTACTCATACCTGAAAAAGAGCACCTCACCATCATAGGTGGCCAAACCTATCTCCCTCACCCCATCCTTGTCAATGTCATATAGGAAAGGAGTGGAATGAACAGTTGATTGATGGAATGCTGGCCATCCTGATGATTTGAAGTTGTAAAATTTGTACAGATGTCATCAGATTTATATACGCAGCTCAAACCTCATTATTATTCATATAGATAATTTCTTCATATTGAGGTGAATTTTGTTGTTTCATAATTCATAAATTTACATCTTGGTTTGTCAACTTATATACAAGCAGGATGTGAGGTATTATGTAGCTCACCTAATAAGTTTGCATTTACTCTTATAACCTATGTCACTCTTCAAAAATATCGATGGTTGCGTGTCGGATACTCCAAAAATAGTATATTTTTGGATGATCCGACACAGGTGCGGCAACATTTTTGGAGTGTCCAGAGCAACAAAGCTTATAACTAGCTTTCCACAAATCATACCTGGAACTTTATCTCCATCAGAACCTTCCAGAATTTCCAAGTAATGAACAAAAGAGGGAACTACCACCTCAAGCTTTCCATCACTGTAGTAATGATCCAGAAACATAGCCGAAATGAATAAATTTATAGAAACAGAAAACAATAAAAGATACTCAAGTTTGAAAATAAGCAACTGCATGTGATTTTGTTGAATCTCACACATAACTAGGATAGTTGTAGCTTTTCCCTGCAATAATCAGGGAGGTCTTGAAAACATAGTTATTTGCCTTTTCAAAAGACCATCCATTTTCATCAACAAATTTATATCAGGATACATGTTATCTCCTCAATTACTTTTTTTCTAAAATAAGGTAAAAGTTCAATAATAAGGTAGTAAAGGTACCAAGATGGTAGAGAAAAGTACAGAGAACAAACAGCCTACTACCCTTTCCTTCCTAAAAAGATAAAAAATCCACGAACCAATCCAGACTAGCTAAACTGCTAAGGTACTACTTTTACACCAAAATACAGATTATGCAGACATTCATTCTTAATTCTAGAGATATGATTTCTCTGTCATTCAAAGCAAGCTTTGTTCCTCTCCAGAAGATGCATACTAGGACAGTTCTCCGAATCTGCTTCAACACTCTTTAAGTACTCTTTGAAGTTGTTAGCTTTCCAATAAGCTCCTAACCCTGAGGCATCACCCATGAAATGCCACAGATATTAAAGAATAATTCCCAAAATTGTCTTGAGACTCTACACGGAAGGATTAGATGAATTAACTGTCTCCTGGTCCTCTTTACACAGATTGCATCTATTACACCACCAAAACATAAGTTTTCTGCAGGTAATTTTGAGTTAGACAAGCCTCCTGAGCTGCAATCCATCCCAGGCATGCTACCTTAACAGGAGTGTTTTCCTTCCAAATCATCTTCCAAGGCCAAGTCTCATCCCAATGTCTGTCTGCTTTAACAAAATAATATAGCAGCTTTAGCCGAGAATATTTTATCTTCAGTAGCTGACCAAATCAGAGAATCCATCTTACTTTAATGCATAGAGACTGATTCCAGCTGCTGAAGCAATTGGGAAAAATCCTCTACCTACCAATCATTTAGATTCCTCTGAAAATTTATTTGCCAACCTGAGTTTGAGTGAAATTCAGTAACAAAGACTCACTTTATTAACAGAACAATTAAACTATATAGGGAATTTAGCCTTCAGACATTCTTATCTAACCCATAAATCTGTCCAGAATTTGATCCTATGTCCATCTCCCACCTCCAGTTTAGTGTATTTGATGAATTCTTTCCATGCATGCTTATACCCTTCCAGATAGTCCATTTAACATTCACTTGCATAGAAGATCTCTAGTCATCCTTTTTGCCATGTATAGCATTAATTATCTTCTTTCAGGCATCACTGCCATCTAAGTTATATCTCCAAAGTCATTTGAAGAGCAAGGTCATATTGTGCAGTTTCAGATTTCTTACACCTAGTCCTCCACCCTTCCTATCCTTGAGAACCACCTGCCTCTTTGTTTACTTTTAATAAAATAACTGCATCCATATCATTGATATTTGTTATTATTACTATTACTCTCTTGATAATAATTGACCGCTGTACCACTATGGAAACAAGTAGTCTCAGAAAGTAAATAACAACACTCATCTTAAGGCAGTCATCACACACTCAGAGAGTGTAAAAGCAAATGAATTACAACCCAAAAGAAAGAAGCTTCTATCACATTACCTGTTAATATCAGCAATCAAGGGGGATGCATATACGCTAGAACTAACTTCTGTCTGCCATCTCAGCTCCAAATGCTGAGGGCACTGTGTATTCAACAATTCATCTTCATCCCTGCCAGCATAAACACCAACAGCAATATTAAAATCTTTTCAGTTTTTATCTTTTGTGTATCAGGCGTTGAAACCAAAAGTATACGTCAATGGTACTTCCTCTATCCCATTTTGTTAGGGTGTTTGACAAGACAAGGAGTTTAAGATGTTAACTTGACTTATATACTCCCTCCATTTAAATTATACATCGGTGTTTGTTTGGGCACAAAGTTTAAGATATTTGTTTTGACTTAAGTATAATAAATTAGTAATAATGGGAGAAAATAATATACTTACAGTCGAAAAGTTAGTTTGAGAGAGAAAACAAAGAAAACATCACATCAAATTTCAAACATTGAATAATTTAATGTATTTGATAACTTAGAAGTTCTGCAGCTTGAATAGAAATAGAATGGCGTGAAACATTTTGAACCTTCTAAAACGGAAAGACTGTCATATAAATTGAAACATATAAAGTATAATTTAGTAAAAGTAGTAGAAGAGAATGGTAAAATAATGGTTAAAAAGTCTGTTATTATCACAATTATAGCAGTTTCATGAATGTGAATTCTTGAAAGTTCTATAGAAATGTTAGGCATCAATATGATTGTACACAAATACAAATAAATTAAAAATTAGAAAGAGTGTCAGCCATATTGGGAGTAAACACATATTTTAGGAAGATATTAGCATCTCCAGTTTGATATTGATAATAGAGATAACGGTTAAAAACAGCACACTCAAGTATCGCCTTTTCACAAATTTCACACTCCAACTATCATTTGTTCCTTTTTCCTACCTGAACTATCACCATGTATTAAAACACACCTCAACTTTCCGTTTTCCTACCTCAACTATGGTAATAGTTCAGTTAGGAAAGGGTAAAACTAGTAGTTGAGGCGTAATAATAGAGATAATGGTTAAAAACATACATAACTATCGTCTTTTTGCGAATTCCACACCCCAACTATCACTTGGTCCATTTTCCTACCTGAATAACAAAAACACACCTCAACTATCAATTGTTCCATTTTCCTACCTCATCTATACTAATAGTTCAAACAGCAAATGTAAAACTCAGGAAATGTGTTTTTGATCATTAAATCTCGATAATAAGACATTAAATTGGTAATATCACCAAAAAAATTAGGAGAAAATTCTCAATGAGTCAGTACAGCTCTATGTAACATCCTGAATTAAGTGGTTATGCAATATCAAAATCGATTAAACAGCTCAAAAAACACAGAGAAGGAATGAACGGAAACTTACAAATTGGGGTAAGCGAGGGAATCATCAGTGGCTTCTCGTTCTCGAAATTTGTTTTTTATGGTGTCTTCAGATTGCAGAAAACGGAAATTTGAAGATAATAGGAGAAAACAGAGTAGGAAAACCCTAGCTTTCATTGAGATCACCGGAGGGAGTATCGCAATTTCAGACTGCTAAAAATCTATTCAGTTCAGCTCCGGGCAAAAATTACCCTTAAAATATTTAGGGATTGTTTGGTAGGATGCATTACAGAAAATAATGCTTACATTAGCTTGATGTATTAGTAGTAACTTGTTTGATATATTTTTTTAATCTATGCATAATTAATGCTTGTATTAGTAACAAACTATAGTATTCAATACGGTTTCATAGTATTCACTCAATCTCTATTAATTGTTGACATTATTAAAAATATTTATTTCAATTGCTTGTGAATTTATAAAATTAATTAAATTTTGTCACTTCACTCTTATAATTAATCTTTTAAAAAAAGTATAAATAGATTTGTAAAGTTTCAAAAAAAAGTTTTTTAAAAGATAAATTAGTAAAAATTATCATTCTTATTTAAGAAGAGTGTACACAGAAAAGTGAACAACTAATATGAAACGAAAATATTTTTTGGAAAGTTAAATGACCCACCCCTAAATGTACCAAAATGTTTAGAAGTCTTATGATCTTAAACATGTTATTTAAAAAGTTGGAAGGAAAATTTTTTATTAAAAAAGTAATGAGATAGTCTTTTGGATTAAAAAAGACGTGACACAAACAAATTGAAATGAATGGAGTAAAAAGTAAAACATGTGTTAGGAATTCTTTGTTTTCTCGTGTTGCTACATGAAGAATCAATATTCAATGGTATGTTATTTGCCCATTTGGCTTTGATTATTTGGCTAGGCTGCTACATGAAAAATTGACTATACAATCTAATAAACATAAAATTATATGTTCTCTTTTACTTTAACTGACTAAATTGTCCAAAAATTCTGCTTGGGAATAATACCTATACCCTATTACATAAAATTCTATCAAATATTTGCATCTACGATTTGAAAACTTTAAGAAATTTCCAACTCTTCAAGCATTTTTCCACAGAATTTTTCAGCGTCTGTAATTGAAAAATAGTCGCTAAGCTAAACTTTGTGCTCATATGAACGCTCGAAAATGGCTAGCCCGCACTATAATTACCTTTCCCACTGTGCCAATTCCTTCATAACTATTTTAACATCTTTGATCTCTTTCAACATGTTGTTAATACAATATCCCAAAGCATACAATGAAATAATTGACTTTTCTTTCAGTTCCTCTTTTCCTTGGCTACTCAATATTCTATCAATCACTTCTTTTGATCTCTCAAAGCAAAAACTTATTCCTCTATCTGTTATTTGATCATTTATTTTACTAAATTTCCCCTCTTCAAGATCATCATCTGGGAACAACTTGATCAAACTAGGCTTATCAAGAAATGTACTTATCGACGAAATCACACTTTCCTTCAATTTCTTCAATTCATCATTCATACATTTTTGTAGCTCTTTGTAATCAACACCGCTGTTTTGAAAATCATGTGATACGTTCTTGATATTGTAGACGATGAAGTAAAATAAATCATCGATTTTCGACAATGAATCTTGGAGCTTTTTGTAGCATGTTGCATTAAAAGGAAGGAACCAAAAATCAGGCTCTAACTCTGCATTAAAACAGAATTTTTTCAAGTCTAGGATTTTGGATTTTAATTTCCTCTGTTTTTCCATTAACTCTTGCAATTCTTGATGATCTTTTTGTACTATTTGGTTCATGCACTCTTTGAGAATATCTAAAGTGCAGTGCAGTTGATTCCTAGCAAGATTGGCTGCTCGTTTCGGGTACATTATAAACTGTACCACGACGAAACAAGACAGTCCAATGAAAGTTTCTGTTAGTCTTATGATGGCGAATTCGTTGTGAGGGCCATAGTTTTTTCGTCCTAAGATCATCACGGCTCCTAATAGCGCGGAAATTCCTCCTGTTGGACCATAAATCCTGCTATGTTTTAGAAAACTGCTGAAAATGATCCAAGGGAGAAGAGGTAAGAACCTTAAGTTATCGATTTTTTGGAAAACAGAACAACTTAAGACTCCATAGACTGATCCAAATGTAATTCCTTGTGCCTGAGCATTAGCAAGAGTAAATGTTGCTAAGTTGCCTTGTGCTAAAGTACTGGCTACTGTTAGCCCTGCCCAAAAACCGTTTTGTTTGTCGAATAACAGGCCTAGCCACATAGCTAGGCCTAATGTAATAGAGCACTTCAACGAAAACATAATCGTTTCTTTTCTTGGTCTAATGTTCATCCAGCTCTTATGGCAAGGTGTTCGTGAATCATCGTTATGTAATGTGGATGAATTGGTGAGCAACATATTTGAACAAAATAAGAAGAAAAATGCAGGTAGGTTTGTTTGTGATGGAGGTATGGTATCATTATGGAGCAAGATGGATTTATTGGCAAAGTCTGATCCTTTTGTTGCTTGATGAGTGACTTGATCTGATTTTCGATGGATTTGCTCAGATACATGTAGTAACGCGCCTTCATTCACTAGGCCAGTGGAAAAGGAAGGACATGATGTTAACGCGATTTCCATTCCTCTTATGGTTAATTCCATGTTTTGGATCTCATTGTCTCTTGGAATTTCTGAACATGATTTGAAAAATCGGATCCAAGGTGTTTCCCACATTAGCCCTCCCTACACAAAGAAGTATAAATATGAGCTAGGAGCGGTTTTCACATAAACTTGGATTAGTCGAGCCAGTGAGTTTCAGATACCAAATGATTATTAAAGTACAGCATATTATCCAAATGGAGAAAAAGCGTGAAAAGATAAGTAAGTCCAATTAACAAGTTTTCTTACCTTCAAAAGTTTGATGCTTTGGAGAAGCTTGGCTCCAGTTTGAGAAAGGATCTTGGCTTTGGACAAAAGTTCAACTGCAATGAGATTGTCTTGGGAAGTGATTGCTCTTGAATATATTTCCACTCTCTCTTTTGAGATTTCACCATATAATTGATGTAGTTTCCTTACCTGATATATTTACAAAGAAAGAAAAATAAGGCTACTAAAATAATATCACGACGTTATGTTAAGAGTATCTTTAGGTTATTTTAGCCCAATGCTGACCTCAAAGTAAGCTAGCTTCGGATAAGGAAGCAAAAAAGCAAGAAGTGAAGCAACGATCCCAAGTACCGTGCTACATGCAACACGAAGAGGGTGAACAAAAACACTCGTATGCACTCCACGAATAACACCATCAGCAAACACAAGCACCAACTGCCCAAAAGCAATTTTTTTGCACCTAATATGTGTACACTCTACGATACCCACCAATAACGAAGTTACTCCCAATGCCAGGGTGGACGCAACAGGCGACAGCGTGTTGCGTCCACTGTCTATTGCTATCCATACACCAAGCATGGATAGCGGCATGGTTTGCACCATGGCGAGTATTGCATGCCAACTGCCACTCAATGTGTCACCTAGCGTTGACTCGCTAGTGACGAGAGTGGCTGTTACATATGCAAATGCTGGAAATGTTACTAATTTTTTTAACCAAGGTGGTCCGTATAGGGTGGAGCAGCCAATTATACTATATGCTACCACAGTCCGAATCGCGGAGTGCAGCCGCATCCGCCACATAATGCGGTTGTGCTCCGCCCCGGACACGGTGGTACTTGCGGCGGCGCTCATGTTGTTGTTACTTAGAGGAAATTAATTAGTGAAAAGTTATGGTCAAGCAAGAAATGAATGGAAGAGGGGTATTTGTAGGGACTAGAAAATTAGGATGAATATTATGAAGAATATTAGAAAACGTGTAGAAAATGCAAAATACTAGTAATTAATTAGTCGTGATTACCCATTATTTTGAAGAATAAATATTAAAAAAATTATTATAAGGGGTCCATGCATTGTGCTAAGTAATTAATTAGCATTTGTTCAAGATCTTATACAATCTACATGACTTTTACCAGCATGCTTAATAGATTTTCCTTATTATGTTTCTTTTAAGCTTAACTAATTATATAATATAGGGTACTGTAACTTGCTACTTCCTTTCGTCCACTTTTAATTGTCATAATTTTTCTTTTTAGAGTCAAACGGTAAGAACGTTGACTAACATTTTACGATATATTTTTTCATCATATATTGATGTGCAAAAAAATTGCAATTTACAGTACTTTTCGTATAGTTTTTGAATATCTAAATTTTTTGTTTAAAACTATATATTAATATATCGAATTTGAGTAAATAACACTAAAGTTTCTTCAAACATGACTCATTTGTAGATACACTTCTTATATTTCAAAATCGAATACTCACACACCTTATATTCATTGATCTTGAACATCAATGAAAGAGAAAACAACTCGGAGAAGACGATACTTATGGGATAATCAGTACGCATATACACTATCGATCCTAAAATATATTGGCGTGCAGAACTAATTCTGAGTCCGGAGCCAAAAGGGCAAAAAAAATTGTCAAAAATTCCAAAAGGGCACATCAAATTTTTTTAAAATCAAAAGGGCAAAATCGCTCCTGACGAAGTGATTTCCCTCTGACAAAATGACGAAGAACCGCTGCCCTAGCAGCAATTTCATCTAAAAACTTTTTTTCTTTTTAGCGATTTTGTAAAAAATAAAAACAAATTCTTTTTATTAAAAGAAAAATGATAAACATCGTTGCAGGGACATCATTTTTCATGCCTAGTGCTATTATTTTCATGTCTATTCATGCCTATTCATGCCTATTGTTAATTATTACTCCCTCCGTCCCATTTTATGTGAGGTACTTTGACTCGGCACAGAGTTTAAGAAAGAAAGGAAGACTTTTAAAACTTGTGATCCAAAATGAATGATAGAAATTTGTGTGGTTGTAAATCATTTCATTAAGGGTAAAATAGACATTTTACAGTCAAATTGTTACTTAATATAGAAATGTGTCATTCTTTTTGGGACTAACTAAAAAGGAAAGTAAGTCACATAAACAGGGATAGAGGGAGTAATAATATAAAAATGATAAACAAGACGGACAGTATACTCAATAAAATTGTTGAAGCTTGAGGAAAATTGAATTATATATCATAAATAATAATAAAAGAATATTAAATTAAAAAAAAACTTTTTTTAAAAAAAAATCCAAAATCTCTGCTATAGCAGCGATTTTGAAGAAAAAAAAGATTTTTTTTTTAGAAAATCGCTGCCAATTTTTATTTTTTTGACGTACGACAACTTTTGTCAGAAGAAAATTGCTCCTGACCGAGTGATATTGTCCTTTTGGTTAATTTTTTTTTTAATGTGCCGTTTTAATTTTTTTTTTTTTAAAAGTTGCTCTTTTGGCTCCGAACTCAACTAATTCTAGTTATGTTCAAATCAAACAATGCCTTAAACTTCAACAAATTCATAAAATGACAGAGAGGTGCAGTAAGCACGCTACAATTGACCAAAACTGAAATTTGCTTAATTTAATTTCTGAACTCGCCATGCAAAAAATGAGTGTTTGTATTTTTGCCTTTTTTTAATATTTCAAAATTCTAATTATTTTTTAACACGCAAGAACATTGGTGTACGTTCATTTATTGATTTAGTCCATATAAAAATTGGATTGATATATAACTTAAATTGACATAGGAAAAATTGTCAAAATATTTGTAATTTTTTTAAATTTAATATGTTATATACAACTACTTAAAAATACGACCCATTATTTAGTCATTTTTCAAGCATTTATTAACTCGATATATTTTAGCATCTTCAAATTAAGCTAAATTCGCCCATTCAATATTCCTAATCGAATGTGATGAAGATACAACGATCGAGCAAGTAACTGGATAGCAAAATGACAAATTATTTTTTTAATATATTAATTAGCTTTAATTAATAATCTCACCGATATATTTTTAAAACTATATATTTTGCATGAGATGTGAGTGTCCAACAACTTCGAAGGAGACCTTATCTTATATTATATTAAAGAAACAACGTGGAGTAAATATATGTAGCCAAATTATTGGTCAAGTGTGCCCTCTCCCACACTAGGGGAACTACGTATATTAAATATAGTCCTCTAAAACTTGAAATTGAAAAAAAATAAAAAATTAGATAAATTGTACAATTAGTATACGAAACCCTAAAAAGGTGGAAGAGAAGTGTTTGTATTTTCTCTGTGTTAATTTATGTAATTGTATTTAATTAGTTATGAAGTTTTTTAAAACAAAGAGTGTATTTGTAAAATTTGTAATACTACACGTTATTTGAAATAATCATCCGGTTATATAGTTAGCTTTTGTTAACTTTAAGGATCAAAATCGTACACTTCAAATAATTAAAGATTAAATGTGCATAGCCAAATAACACATGGATTAAAACTGAAATTATGTGATATATACATTGATTAAAATCACTATTTCCCCTATATATTTTTTTGTTAAAAATGTATTAAAAGGTTTTACTTTCTGTCCGAAATTTTCTCCTTTTTTTTTCAATTTTAAAACTACACCACTAAAAGAAAAAAAGAAAAAAAAAACTACTTATATACACATATCTTTTTCAGGAAAAAAAAAACTAATATTTAAAAACCTTTCATGACATTACCAAATCATATTCATATCTGTTTGATGTGAAGCAATCCTTGATTTTTTTTCGGATAATTTAAGAGGTAATAGGATTATTTGTTTTGGTAGGTGCCGCACGAACATTGGCTCCTATTGCCACAAATTATGATATGATGTAGGTTTAATTATTTGGATCGATTTTAATTACGTGAGTATCCCTTCAAAGTACAGTAAAAATTATCAACTTAATCCATGAGTCTTTATGATCACTCATTGATCCTGTCCAGATATTAATATAATAAACAAAGTAAGTAGATTTCTCTCAAATTTCAATTACGTTTGCTAGTAGGAGTTTTTCTTTTAAAATTGAGCAAAATAGAAACGTGTCTAAAGAGTGTTAGTATTTCAAAACTAAAAGACAAGGATGATTGTTTTATTGCATTTTTTATCTTAAAATTTGAAATTTTGCTTATTTATAATTAACACGTGATGCTTATGACTTTGAATTAAAAAAAATGAATTGTCATAGTAGGAGTTGGACCTACTTAATTATTTGGGAAATATCGTTTTGTGATGTCTTCATTTTTCATGTTTGGTTAATCGTGGTGCTCCCTCGATGGTATTTCTTGACAACATTAAAAAGAAAAAATTTATTATGTTGGCACAAAAATTTAAGTAGGGATTTGGCCATAGAATTCAAAATATTTTTTTATATTATTTATAAATTTTAAAGTAGGAGTTTAAGATAGAATTGTGTGTAGTTAATTTTTTTTTAAAAATAGTTTCTTCAAAATGAGTGCAGTGTCTATCATGAAACTGGGTATTCTATACTTTTTCTATTGATAGAAAAAAATATGTGTGATTATTCCATAAAAGATCGATCTACATTTAAAAAGACAATTATATCGACGAGTAAATGTTACAACTCAAAAATTATATAAGATCACGACTATTGAAACCTTTCATTAAATTAAAATTCTTGGGATATAGTAACAATGTCAATTTCTTTTTTGATTTAGAAGAATATAAACCAAGTTATGAAGAGCGGAAGGTAGTGATCATCTTATACAAATGTCTTCAACTGTATCTCACAATGATGAATAACAACCCTATTTATAGGTTGAGAAATCACTCTAAAAATCATCATGTTAAATGCCATAATTAATAATATATGTTTTTATTCAAAGTGATTCATAGACCTAGGAAATATTATGCATGGATGAAAGTAGTTCATGTATTAAATAAATGAACAATCTACTAATTCAAAAGATTTATAACATTTTTTAATTAATAGACAATATTGAAGTTTGTCAAAAAAAAAAAAACTAAAAATGTTTACAAAAAAGGAAATAAACAAAAATTGCCTACTTTTTATAATAAAAATATTTCAAAACATTAAATTAAGGTAGTCACATCTTCATAAATAGTAAATATTTTTTTATACAAAGCATCAAATATATTACATTGCAAACACATGGATAACATTTTATTAACTAGGATTAACTCTCATCAATATAAATAATAGCAATAATATTACTTTGTATTGTATTTGAGTTACCTTTCTACTCTATTGACTTTTTGATATAATATTTTTAGATATTTTAAATAAATCAATCAATACTTTTATGATTTTTTACGCTAAAAAGATTAATAAGAAACCGACGATTATTAACCGCCGGATTTAAGGGTATATTTTCACCATTTTTTAGTAGTAAATAATAAAATTGAGTGTCATTCTATCAAAATAAGTATGTAAATTCAAATAGATCTTCAAAGCATCATATATACTTGAGCAGTATTAGTCACCACGATGAATGTATCCAAAACATTTATAAAAATAATTTTTGAGTCAAAACATTTTACATCAAAGATATGGTGCACATATGTGTCAATAGAGTTGAGAATGACCAAATCCGGTGACAATTCTCTACTCATGTTCTTTCAAAGTTGGGTAAGTGATCTTAAGGACATCTCTCCAGACCCCAATCCATTCTTTCCAGCGCCCCTCAATTAAATTCATAATTGTTGTTGCTTGTGCAGAGTAACTAGAGAACTTCAAATTGTAATAAAAAAGTTGTCAACTAAGAAAGATTTCTTATCGGAAGTCCATGCGAGCCAAACTAATATTAACCAAAAT